GATCCTTAGACTTGACAGAGGGAGACAAACAACCTGACCGCTACATACATGCACACACATGCAGGCACACAGGCAGACACACCACATACAAAATAAATGAATAAAATATAATTAAAAATAAATAAATGGGCTGGAAAGATGGCTCAGCGGTCAAGAGCACTGACTGCTCTTTCAGAGGTCTTGAGTTCAATTCCCAGCAACCACATAGTGTCTCATAATCATCTATAATGGGATCTGATGCCCTCTTCTGGCATGCATATGTACATGTAGATAGAACACTCATCTACATAAAATAAAATTTTTTAATAATATTTACTTATTTATTATGTATACAATATTCTGTCTACATGCATGCCTAAAGAGGGCACCAGGCCTCATTACGGATGGTTGTGAGCCAATATGTGGTTGCTGGGAATTGAACTCAGGACCTTTGGAAGAGCAGGCAGTGCTCTTTACTGCTGAGCCATCTCTCCAGCCCCCATAAAATAAATTTTTTAAAAGAGATTTATTTGTGTGTGTGTGTGTGTGTGTGTGTGTGTGTGTGTGTGTGTGTGTATGTATACAGTGTTCTGGAATTTATGACTACATGCCAGAAGAGGGCACCAAATCTTGTTATAGACCATTGTGCACCACTATGTGGTTGCTGGGAATTGAACTCAGGACCTCTGGAAGAGCAGACAGTGTTCTTAACCTCTGATCCATCTCTCCATCTCCAGCCCTATAAATAAAATTTAAATAAATAAATAAATAAATAATGGAGCCTGTAGAGATGGCTCAACTATTTAGCTTCTTCATGGTTTTTGCACAGGACCTGTATATATTTCAAACCTAGCACCAACAGTGGACAGCTCACAATTACTTGTGACTTCAGTTCAGGGGCTCAGAATCCTCTTCTGACCTCCACAGGTTCCTGCACACACATGGTACACATAAACTCAAACTGGCTCACACACATATGCATGTAAAATAAATAAATCTCAAAAAGCATAAACAAACAAACAAATAAGACCAGAGTCCAGATTTTTAGATTCTAGGTGCCCAGCGTTTGATTTACAATTCAGTCTGTGATCCTTCCCCTCCTGCATGGCCTTGGAGTCGGAGGCCACCTGGGCACGGGGCTGCAGCAATGTCCCAGGAGACCGTTGCTGTATGAATCGTGCTCTTCCTGAGTCCAGTGTCCAACTTCAGGCTGCCTCATAGACCAGGAAGGTGTGACCCCTCAAATGTGCTCTGTAAGTCAGACAAACTCCTCATTGGTGCCCTGGGAGAACTTTGGTGGCCTCACACCTTGATTTGCTGTTGAGAGCTCGAGGGGAGGGAGCCATTGTTTAAGTCTCCCCCAGGGCAGGAATTTTAGCAACAGTGACTTGGGACTTGTTCAGGTATGGAAGCAGCAGCTTACATGGATGAGAACTGAGGCAGAGGCCTTCCAGGTCCTTTGTCCCTACAATCCCATATGTATTCCTTCCTAGGGTCAGCAGAGTTCCACAGCAGTCAGAGGTGGCCGAGACACCTGTAACCCCAGCGATAAGGAAGTTGAGGCAGGAGGATGAAATACAACAGTGAGATTCTGGCTAAAGACAGCAACAGAGCCGGGAGGTGGTGGCGCATGCCTTTAATCCCAGCACTCAGGAGGCAGAGGCAGGTAGATCTCTATGAGTTTGAGGCCAGCCTGGTCTACAAGAGCTGACTCCAGGACAGCTCCAAAGCTACAAAGAAACCTTGTCTCAAAAAAACCAAAAAAAAAAAGACAGCAACAGGTCTTGTAACTATGCCATCGCATGGCTTCTTACTTAGCAGCTGCCTAAGGGCAGCGACTCTCTGATCTGGTAGCAAAGCTGCCTGGCCCAGATCAAAAAGGGAAAGGAGAGGGATTTTTGCTGATGGCTGCCCGGCAGAGGTAAGGCTCTCTGACGAGGTGGCAGGGCTGGCCAGACAGTCCATGAGGAGAGAGGTGAAGAGTCCAGGCTTTAGGAGGATAAAACCATAGGAGAGTCGGGCAAGGTGGCTCAGGCCGTAACCCCAGGGGCAGGTAAGAGGGGCGGGAGTTTAAGTCATCCTTGAGTACATGTCAAGTTTGAGGCCAGCCTGGGCTACACAGGACCCTGTCCTAATAATAAACAGATAGATACCAAGTGAAGTTGTAGGAAAAGGTGATGGAGGAGGGTCTTCTGTCTATTTGTTACTTTCATTGGTTAATTAATAAAGAAAACTGCCTGGCCTGATAGGTCAGAACATAGGTAGGTGGGGAAGACAGAACTGAATGCTGGGAAGAAGGCAATGAGGCAGATGCCATGATTCCCCTTCCCGAGATGGACGCTGGCTAGACTCATGCCGCTGGCTAGACTCATGCCGGTAAGCCACGACCTCACGGTGACATACAGATTATTAGATATGGGTTAGTCAAGAGGTGAGAGTTAGCCAATAAGAGGCTATAACTAATGGGCCAGGCAGTGTTTAAAAGAATACAGTTTCTGTGTGGTTACTTCAGGGGTAAGCTAGTCAGGATCCTGGCGGGAACACAGCCTGCCGTTCTTTCTACAAAAAGGAAGCAAGGGAGGTGCCTAATATTTAGGGTGCAAAATTTGAGGGAGTGTGGTCAAACCTCAATAATCAAGACAAATAATTATCTGGCGCAAAATGTCTTCATAATACACACACACACATGTATAAGCATATTGCGGTGCTGGAGATACAAACCCGGGTCATGAATACTAGGCCAAAATTGTGGAACTGCTAGCTGGAGAGATGACTGAGTGGTTAAGAGCCCTGGCTGCTCTTTCAGTCCTGGGTTCAAGTCTCATCACCTACATAGGCAGTAACTCCAGTTCCAGGAGGCCCAATACCCTTTTCTGGCTTCCCTAGTGTCAGGCAAGTGGTGCCCAGATGTAATCTAGACAAAACACCCATATGCATAAAAATTTATTTTCTTTCTTTCTTTCTTTCTTTCTTTCTTTCTTTCTTTCTTTCTTTTTTTCTTTGAGACAGGGTTTCTCTGTGTAGCTTTGGAGCCTGTCCTGGAACTTGCTCTGTAGACCACACTCGCCTCAAACCCACAGAGCTCCACCTGCCTCTACCTCCCAAGGGCTGGGATTAAAGGTGTGCACCACCACCACCCGGCAATAATTTTTTTAAAGCTATGTATTTACTTATTTACTGACTTATTTTGTGTGTATGTACTTGTGTGGCCACGGACATGCCGCGGCATCGGTGCCTATGTCAGAGGAGACCTGCAGAAGTCGATTTCTCTGGTTCTCTCCCTCTACCGTGTGGGTCCTGCAGATGGAATTAAAGTTGTCAGTGTTGGCTTCAAGTGCCGGAACCTGAAAAACTATCTGGGGAACTAATATTTTCAAAAGCTAAAATTATTAGTAATAACTCCTTATTACCTAAAGGAATTTATGTCAACGTGCTACAGAGACACCTGTGTGTCCATGTTTATATAGAACAACTCAAAATACGAGGTATGGAAGCAGCCGCAGTGTCCACTAAAGAATACAGCACCTTCACCTGCTGAGACGTCTTGCCAGCCCCTCAATGAACTTTTTTTTTCAGCCATAAAGAACAAAATTCTGTCCTTTGTAGGTAATACAATGGAACTGGAGAGCAAGTAGAACAGACTGGAGATCATCCTGTTATCTGGAATAAGCCAGACTCAGAAAAGGATGTCACGGGTTTTCTCTTGTGTCCCAGTGACATGGCGAAATACAACAAGAAGTGCAGTGGACAAGTACAAGACCAGCCATGGTGCCTCCTTCTGGAGAATGGTAAAGAAAATCGAAATTGGCCAGCAAGCCAAGTACAGTCGCCTCTTCTCTGGTAAGAGAAGACAGGGCCGTGTGCAGCACCTGTTTCAGGGGTTTGCATGAAAACGGTGACTGGTGGGGTCCTGGGCCTACATCACCACCTCTGCTGTCCCGGTCAAGTCGGCCTCCAGAGGCCTGAAGGAACTGAAGGACCAGGAGAAGTGTGGCCAACTGAGACATTCCCAGCCTGCTGTTGATTGATGGAACAGCAAAAACGTAACCCAAGGACTGAGTGCGCCGCCCAGTGGTGTACCTGAGATCCTACTTCGTTCCCAATGCTCCGAGAAGCCCTCAGGCTCCTGCAGTTCCCCCTGCCACCGGCAGATGGCGGGGTCAGCCTACGTCTGGACAGTGGTTTCCCACTGGGTCTCCTCTTTCCAGAGTTGGTGAAAGAGGATGCTGATGGGGTTCCAGGAACATGCTAGTCATCCCCCGCTCTCCATAAAGAGTGGGGGTCTCAGATTTCCTCTTTAGACTTCTCTGTTACTCTCAGTAGCTATCCACCCATTAGAAGGACCAGACACCAGAATGAAAGACACCTTTGAGATTTTAACACACAAACATTCTGTCTTATAGTAACCCTAATGTTACAGTTGCTTATATTTTACTATTAATTAGTTTTTTTGTATGTTCAAACAATATTCTGTGATAGCCCTGAACTCACTAGGTAGCCAAAGTTGTCCTTGAACTCTTAATTTTTGTTGGAACTTGCTTTGTAGATCAGGCTGGCCTCAAACTCACTGAGATCTGTCTGCTTCTGCCTCCCAAGTGCTGGGATTAAAGGCGTGAGCCACCACCACCTGGCATGGGTATTTCTTGTTCTTGCAGAGGACCTGCATTTGATTCCCAACACTTACACGGCAGCTCATTACTGTCCATAACTCCACTTCTAGGATGTATATGATCCACAGACATACATGTGAGTAAAACACCCACACACATAAATTTAAAAAATAATTTATTTTTATTTTATGTGCACTAGTGTTTTGTCTGCGCGTGTGTCAGATCCCGGAGTTACAGGTGTTGCTAGCTGCCATGTGGGTGCTGGGAATTGAACCTGGCTTCTCTGGAAGAGTGGTGAGTGCTCTTGACAGCTGAGTCATCTCTCCAGCCCAACTCTCTCTCTCTCTCTCTCTCTCTCTCTCTCTCTCTCTCTCCCCCTTTTTTAAAGGAAGAAAGCAGCTCAAGGCCAGCATTCTCTACAGAATGAGTTCTGGCCAGCCAGGGCCACGTGGTGAAATTCTGTCTCAAAACAACAAACCTCAACCAACTCCCAGCCAGCCAAACAAAAAACTAAAAAAAAATACACTCACGCCTATCATCCCAGCACTCCTGGAGGCTGAGGCAGGAGGATCGGAGTTCGCTGCTACCCCAGGCTGTAAGGTAAGACCTGTCACATACATGACGAATAAATGAGGAGGCTCTGGGGCATGGCTGTCAGTAAGCTGTTTGCAGGTAGGTATGAGGGCCCGAGTTAGGGTTCTGAACTCACTTTCTGAACTCACTTTGGGTTCAGAATAGAGCCTGGAGTTGAATGCCTTTAATCCTAGCACTCAGGAGGCAGAGGTTGCATGGGGTGCGGGGACGGGGGGAATCTTCATGAGTTTGAGGCCAGCCTGGTCTATATATGAGCTCCAGACCAACCAGGGCTGTGCAGCGAGATCTCAGAAGGAAAAGAACGAAAGGTCGCATTTGGTGATGCAGTGCCGTAATCCCAGTGCCGGGGAGGCGAAGACAGTAGACTTCCCGGAGTGGTGGCCAGCCAGTCTGCTCAAGCTGAGCTCCGAGTTTAGTGAGAGACTGTCTCCAAACAATAGGCAGAGAATAATAAAGGAAGACAGGACGTCAATCACTGGCCTGCAAATGCACATGCCACCCCACCTGCTTATGTGTATGAACATGTATACACGTACACCAGAATAAACAAGTAAAGCAAGTAAAGAAAACACGTGGGGAAAGAGATGGGCCTGACCTGGGATTCAGTCTTCTTCACGGGTCTCAGCACAGGAAGTTGAGGTTGGAGGAATATTCTGAGGCTATCAGTGAATCCTGGCGGAGAATCAGTTTTAAAGCCACAGAAACAGCTCCTGGGTGGTTCTGCTGATGCTCCTGGAGGCGTGGTAAGTCCCAGGGTGGGATGTAGCAAAGGGATGTCTTCAGATTGTTGGGAATCCATTCTGTTCTTTAACCGCTATGTTTGCTCTGGGAACCAAACATCTGTCCTAGCAGCTTCTCTGGCGACCCAGGGCAAGGCTGTGATGTTTTCAAGTGGGCTTAATGCCACAACCTAGAAAGAAGGGAGTGAGTGCCTTGGGAATTAGGAGGGCAGCATCGGAGGAGGGTGGAGCTGCCAGTAAGGACAACCAGACAGGGACCCAAAGCCTTCTCGCCTGCTCTCCCAGTGGCAGGACCTAAGACACCTCCAGTAAAGCTGGTAGGGAGGACGAGTACTGGGCCACCCACATGGTCTCTAGGAACGTCCCCTGTCTGTCTTTTCCCGATTCCGGGAGAGAAACCACTCAGGACAAGAAGCCCAGAGCCCAGGTCTGTGTACATGGAGAAAGTCCTTTCTAGAAGGAAGAACGAACTGGCCAGGTTCAGTCAAAGAGCAGAGGTAAACCCAGAGAGCTAAGGGGCCCCCAGATCTCTGCCTGCCTGTGGGCGGGAACCCTCTAGGCTGAGCCACACCCCCAGCTGGGCCTGACTCGGGGTGAGCAGTGACTGAGTGTGGAAAGCAGAGGTGGGAACACGGAGACAAAGGCTGAAGGGAGGGAAGGAGGAGCGTGGAGGAGTCGGGAAGCCCGTAGGGGGTAAGAAAGGCAGCCTGTGTTTAGTGCTGTCGGGAGGAACCTTTCTTTCCTGGGTGGGCTGAGAGCTTTTCAGGACACAGAGCTAGGAGAGGGGAGTGGGAAGGGGGCGGGCGATGAGGATGCCTGGGATGCCGAAGAGAGGGTTAGCCGTGTTGATGATCTTAGTCTACAGGGATGCCTTCTGGGTCTAATGGGGACACTGTTGTGTGACCAAACCTTTTCTAGGCAGATGCACACACGCATCTAATCACCCCGGACAGGAAACTCACGACAGACTGGAGTATGGCTTGGTGAACCAAAGAGTTTCGTTGGGGTGGGTTTCTTACAGGAGCAGACATGACACAAAGGCAGCTGCACCACCAAGGCCCATCCCCCCACTCCAGCATGGGGGTGGCTACAAAGGGTGGGAAATCTGGAGCACACTGCACAGCCTGCAGGCTGCACAACAGGAAGGAGTGTGACTCTGATCTAAATCTGTCCCCAGCAGCTCTGCCGGTTACTCCTCCAGGAAGCTGGTCTGACCCCAGAGCTTCTGGGCAACCTTCCACCTCTGAGAGTCTTTGCACCTATGCTCAGCAAGTCTCAGTCTCAGAAACTCTCGGCTTTTATTGCTGACTCTGACAGGGCGGGGTCTAGTGAACCCGGTCCGTTTCAGGGACTTCCTGAAGCTATTTTGAGTTGTTTGCCTTCCTGCTTGAGGAGCTTCCCTGCAGGGTGGAGAGTTTCAGTCACGGAGGAAACTGTTACACAATGCTCCTCTTCCCCACAGAGACACACAGAGCCAAGGCAAACTCAGGTTTTGGGGATCCTGGAGCTTCAATAATTTGGGGGCTCCCTTGAAAAGGGCACCAAAATTAGGAGCCTGGTCTATCGCATAGTGGGGCCAACCTCTATGTGGTCTTCTTATCCTCTGTCAGCCAAGTCCCACCTGTTCCTGAGAGGGAGGTGGGAGCAATGAGGCTGATGACCTCGCCTAAGCCACTTCCTGTGTGACCACAAGCTCCTTCATTCCTGACACTTCTGTTTTCTTATTGTAAGTGGGCATGGCAGCACTGGGTTCCCGCAGATCACTGTCAAGGTTAAAACAATACATGGATGTGTACCTATTGCACAGCACCCAATCAGGGTTTTTCAAGGACTGTCGTTCTGAGAACATGGGGGACTGTTGATGTCAGAGTTATGAGGGAAGTTGGGGCGGCACAACAGGCCATTGTGGAAGGAAAGGAAGGTGCAATAGTCAGGGAAGAAAAGGTTACCCACCAGCCACCCAGGAAATACATCTAGCCTATACTGAGGTGTTCACACATGGCTGCCTTTGTGTTTCAGTTGTTTTTCCAGAGTTCTCTTAGAACAAAAGCGATATCGAGGAAGAACACAGTCATACAGTAGTTGGGACAAAAACAAAGACAAACAAACAAAAAATGAAACACCAAAATAAAATAAGATGGGGGGAGGGCTGGAGAAATGACTCAGAGGTTAAGAGCACTGGCTGCTCTTTCCAGAGGACCAGGCTTTGAACCCCAGTGCCCACAAGGTGACTCACAACCATCTGTAATTCTAATTTTAGGGGATCTGATACCCTCTCTGGGCTTGACTCAGACACCAGGCAAAACACCCATAAACTTTTACATAAAGTAAAAGTTAAAAAATAAGTAAGAAGTTGGCCAGTGAAATGACTTAGTGGGTAAGGGTGCTTGCACCAAGCCTGATGCCCTGAGTTTGATTTTCAGGACACTTATGGGGAAGGAGAGAACCAGCTTCTGCAAGTTGTCCTCTGACCTCTGACCGTTTTCTACGGTGGGTTTGTACACACACACCAAATCAATAAATAAGCTGGGCGGTGGTGGCGCACGCCTTTAATCCCTACACTCAGGAGGCAGAGGCATGAAGATCTCCGAGTTTGAGGTCTACGGGGTGAGTTCCAGGACATCAGGGCTATGCTGAGGAACCCCGTCTTCAACAACAACAACAACAATTATTTTATTATTGATTAGATTTGACTTCCTCTTGTTCTCAGTGTCCAGGCTCATTTCAAATGCCAAACTGACCAGAAACAAAACACAGAAGAAGAAAACAAAACCATTTCCTTCCCCTTGGAAAGCAAACTTCCTCAGGAACTCAACAAGTTCATCGATGTAAAAGACAGGAATTGTTCTTTAATACCCAAGGTGTAAAACCTGCCAAGTTAATTTTTCCAAACCAGTAAAACAGCTTTTAAGTCTTCTCTGGTGGAGTCCATTGAGACTTGTAATGTGTGACTTTTGCATGTTTCCTTTTCCTTTCTGCTTCTCCTTGTTCTGGGGTTTGTCTAAGGCAAAATTGAGCTACCCGTGTCTATAGCCTTAGTCCTACACACAAAGTGCTGGCCCCACTGTCCCTAGTGAGGGCCAGGCTAAAGCAGAGCTCTCTCTCTCTCTCTCTCTCTCTCTCTCTCTCTCTCTC